ATAATTGACGTAAGATATTTGACTTTTCACTCAGTCCATAGGCGTCCACGAAAAAAATTCTGGGGGCAGACAACCCGAAAAGCGTGTTAATGTGTCAGATTCGATTGTCGAAACAATTAATTAAGTCATTTGTTACGTCAATTTGCAATATGTCATCGATAACTGACATATGTCATATTGAACGTCATATTTAACGGTTAAGTATTTGTTGACCAGCATAACAAGCGCGAATCGGGCCAACGCTCTTTTATTTCATTATTTTTGTTTTTTTATTTGTTGGAAAAGCAATCTAGACGTGCGTTCGATGCGGAACAGCCGCGTTTCTCGACATTCTCAAATTAATTCATTCAATTCCTATTAGAATCCCACAGACAATTCAGAAAATTAAACATATTTCCAATCCAATTGGATTTCCTATTGCATTTTAAGGCATTCGATAATAACGTATGTAACTCATCTATCAACCGTGCAATGACAGTTGACGTTGTACAATTTTGCATTTTCACGCCACCACCGCCAGATTCGATTGTCAAAACAATTAATTAAGTCATTTGTTACGTCAATTTGCAATACGTCATCGATAACTGACATATGTCATATTGAACGTCAGATTTAACGGTTAAGTATTTGTTGAACAGCATAACAAGCGCGAATCGGGCCAACGCTCTTTTATTTCATTATTTTTGTTTTGTTGGAAAAGCATTCTAGACGTGCGTCCGATGCGGAACAGCCGCGTTTCTCAACATTCTCAAATTAATTCTTTCAATTCCTATTACAATCCCACAGGCAATTCAAAAAATTAAACATATTTCGAATCCAATTGGATTTCCTATTGCATTTTAAGGCATTCGATAATAGCGTATGCAACTCATCTATCAACCGTGCAATCAGTCAGTTGACGTTGTACAGTTTCTTATTGTTACGCCACCACCGCCAGATGGCTGCGTCGGCAAAATTATGTATTCCTACACTAACTGCTACATCTTAGCATTTTGAAAACTCGTTCTTTTCGTAACTTGAATATTTCTATGTGGTTTATACGATTGCAATTTGCAAATCTTTATGACGAATTCGAACGACTTTAAAAAAACGTTTAAATAACGTGAAACAGACTGTAACATTTCCAACGCGTTATTTAATACTCATTCATCTATAAACAAATGTATTGAATAATCATCAATAACTTCCGCGTCTTTATTCGCGCGAATGATAAAGAAAAAGTCTTAAAAATCACGCAATTAAGTGCGTAGCTTTATACTTTAGAGTTGGATTGTGAAGACTACAAAGACCTTGAGCGTGTATATCTCTTCACTCTTCGGATGTAGTTGAGATTTTTTAATATGGAATACGCTTAAATTATGGGTCATTGTTTCTTTGCTCTTTGAATAAATCAGATTTTCCTTTCTATTTCCTCTTCTCTCCGCTCCGATTTACACTGCAACTCCTCTGCATTCTAAAGATCGAAGAAAAACCGATATTTGTTGTGCGTGTTTTCTTGCACATGTTACAATTGAAATTCTTCGATCGTCCGTAAACTTAAGCGTTATTTATCCCGCTACGATTGTAGAGACGTGTGTGGCTACGTGAATCTCAAATCAGACACGAAACGCACTCTCAATAAGAACTCGAGTGTTGTTGCTGAAGAGAAGTGAAGGTGTGGGGAGGGGGAGTTGAGAGAAGAAGAAGAAAAAATAAGAAATGGATTGAGAACGAGCGTCGTCGGTCGTCGTATTCGTGAAGCGAAACGTGAAAGACGACATTCTCCAACCGTTCTCGCACCGCGAAACATATACACACACACACCTCCGCGTCCGAAGAGTTTTTCGGTTCTCCTCATCAACTTTCATGCGACGTCGGTGCAAAAGTGCAGTGAAAAACAGGAGTTAAAAACGTATCAAGAAAACTTTGTAAGTTTACAAATCAATCTATTCAAACTACACACGCATAAAACATTCACCGCATTCTTCGATACCAATCGATAATTGCAGGTTATTAATCATAAGCACTGTAATTAATCTATCATTTGTTCTCAAATCACCGATCAGCAATTGTTTTTTTGTTTTGTTTACGTGTTTTGTTTCTTTCCCTTCTTTTGTTTGTTACCAACTCTCCTCTCCATAAACAAAAAAAAATGTATCCTTTTACAACAGTCGAAGGTTGATGAGATCTCGTTACCTAACTCATTCGAAACTAGACCCAAGAAGTGCACATGATATAAATATTTGAAATGCACGCGAAAACAGAAATATCTCTCTTCGTTTTTAAAATATTGCGTTATTTGAAGAAACACTGTTGTAATTTTCAACTGATAGAAAACACTGGTTTACAAAGTGCCATCTTCGATATTTTTTTGTTATTTCCAATTTGAAGCGCTTCCATGAACTTTTTGTAAAAAAAAAAGAGTATACTTAAGTAAAGATACACAAAGAAGAAATTAACACTTTTCTAATGCAAAAGAATTTCACGTGTCGAACATTCCTTGAGTGCGAATTTCCATTAATTTTTATTACAAGACAAACTCTTTTTTTGTCCAAGAATTTCGTCTAAATCTAAACTAGTTTGAATCGTTTTACATATTTAACCTAGATTTCGAGTTTTGTGGAAATTTACAATCGTATTTATCATTAAACTAAATAATATTAATGACATATGTCAAATTAAACGTCAGATTTGAAAACTATATAATACGATACATCATTAATGTGTCAGATTCGACTGTCAAAACAATGAATTAAGTCATTTGTTATGTCAATTTACAATACGTCATTGATAACTGACATGTCATATTGAACGTCAGATTTAACGGTTAAGCGTTTGTTGACGAGCATAACAAGCGCGAATCGGGCCAACGCTCTTTTATTTCGTTATTTTTGTTTTTTTGTTTTGTTGGAAAAGCATTCTAGACGTGCGTCCGATGCGGAACAGCCCGGGTTTAACGTCCCAAAAAGAAACGCATCAGACGTTAAATGTATTCAACGAGGGTTGTAAATCGAATCAAGTCTACCGTGACTCCCGAAAACAAAAAAAACGTACGTTCTACGTGATATCGTAACGAACATATGTTCTCATTGCTGCCACCTTTTACTAATTACTAAAACTTAATTAGAATAATCGTAAAGAAAACGTTCGCTCTATAAAAGAGAATAAACTTTTGCAAATAAAATTGTAATCGCAGCGGCACGCGCCGCCGACTTGCCAGATCCAATTACGATGAATAATTGCATTTATACGTTTATTACAACTCATTAACTTTTACAACTTACAATTAAATCTTTGACGTTTATCAACGAAACGTCACCTGTCATCAAACCATCGAATTGTCAATTTCCATGGTGATCAGTTATTTTCAATGCGGTTCTCTTGTTTCAATAATGCATGATGGAATGTCTCGTGCGGATTCATATAAATGGTAAAACTGTAAATCCGACGATTCTCACATACTCAACAATATCAAATCCCGCTTTTGCGTTTTGTAAAAGACCGATTGGAATTGGAAATAAAGTAAAGAAAAAAATAACAATAATAAAAAAAAAGAGCGCAGTTTCGAACGCGAATTGAATGGTAACTATGGCATTTGCTCGCTGTTTCTATAGTAACTGTACCACTCGAACAAATAGCAACAAACACAAAGGTTGCGGCGAACGAAACGCGCCTCTCTTTCCTTTCAATCTGTAATCGAAAGAAATGTTTTATTGTTGTTCTCGTGATTTATTTACATGATATTAATTTCGTATGAATTGTAGAAAGTTCATATGACATTCTTTTAGATGTGGTTCCAATTAATTAATTGAATAAAAAAAAAAAGAAACTAAATTTACTGACTTCAATTATTTAAGTTGGTACAAATTTGGTTTATTATCAAACACAAAAATATGTTTATTGTTGTTTTCGAGATTTATTTATTCGAAATGATTTTGATTTAGTAAGAATTGTAGAAATTTGATAATATGACGTGCATTTAGATACGTCAGACGTGGTTCCAATTATTTTAATTGTAAAAAAATAACTAAATTTAGTGACTTCAATTATTTTAGTTGGTATAACTTGTCAATAAATGTTTTCAATAAACAACATACGTTATATTTAAGTTGGTATCAATTTGGTTTATTACTAAACACAAATTAAGTTGGTGTTTATGTCATACTTTGGTTTATTACCAAAAACAAATTAAGTTGGTGTCCGTGTCATAATTACGAGCGTACCTGTTCAAACGCATAGTAATAATTGTAGAAAGTTTGATAATATGACGTGCATTTAGATACGTCCAGACGTGGTTCCGATTATTTTAATTGAAAAAAAATAACTAAATTTAGTGACTTCAATTATTTTAGTTGGTATAACTCGTCAATAAATGTTTCCAATAAACAACATACGTTATATTTAAGTTGGTATCAATTTGGTTTATTACTAAACACAAATTAAGTTGGTGTTTATGTCA